AATTAAAGGACTTGGCAAAGTGCCAAGGAGCCGCACGCGACACGCGCGCTTACGACGGATGTTATGAAGGACGGGAATCTGCGCCGCAAAAAGGTGTAAGGCGGAGCATGGAGGAATTAGCGTGTTTCACGGTCCTGTATCTCCATTCCTGGGCATGTTTGGGCGGGGGACCACGACACATCGACAGCTGGGGGGCTGATAGTCTCATACACCCTCAATGTGTTTGAGCGTACCATGTGTCTTTAATGTGTCTGACGAATGTGGATAAGGACAATACCTTTTCGGCGACCGATATATTCGCGAGCAGCATGAACTCTTCCACCATGGAGTGCGTATCGAGATGTTTCTTTTCTTGAACTGCTTTCGGTGTACGCGTCTCCCAATCCATGTCGAATCGTACCTGGAAAAGGATGAAGGATAAAGCTTTGCAGTCAGTCAATGTTCCATTGAGATGTAGCACGCTTTTTACTTCTACTCATAATCGTAGTGGCTTATTGAATGCGATGTGGCCTATACAATGACTTGCGGGAGCCAGCCGATGTACAAGTCAGTGTTTTATCCTCCCAGACGAATCTGGTACCAATTTACCGCCCCCACCCCCGTAAAAAGAAGGTTTGGTTGGCTAGGGCAGGAATCGAGTCGGAATTCTTTCCCCAGACAACGGGTGTGGAAAGGGTGTCAGATGCCACTATACCACTTCCGCCTATCCTCGTCCCTTATCCTTTTTCACGGGTATCAACAAAATTCCAATGAAATGCCATGTCTACCTCGGACGATGCGAGTGTCAGCGCACCGTTGGCTGTTCTCCTCTTGTTCAAAATCTTGGACAGTCTCATCAGACCTCGTAGACCGAGTGTGACGTCATCGTTCTGAACAGCGCTCATCTCCCAAATTAGATACATATGTCGTAAAGAAAAGATCCCCTCACCAGATTAGGGTCATCAATGAACTCTTGCGCTTTTTCATAAGTGAGTGCTGCCCTGGAGCATATCAGGGACTTGTGGTACTTGGTGTCCAAGACTTCTGCTTCACTGGTCATTGTCCAAATAACGGAGAACGCATATCTGCAAGACCCAACATGGATTAGAGTTCACCTTTCTGAATGGCCCCACTGCCTTACCAGGGAAGTCCGCCAACATGCCATGGCAACTTTGTAATCGGAGACCTTGGCGTAGATTCGACAGAGTTTGTAGATTAATTACAAATATAGATAGCAAAATTGCAACCTGCACTATACAAGCAACTCATGAGCAGGTAAAATTTGTAATGGTGCAGTAGGGTGGAGGCTTGGTGGTGAGCTGTGAAGCATAAGCGAGGAATCGCATACGTCGAATCGAGTCGTCGAACGTCGAACCTTACCACTGAACCACCACGACTCGATTCGACGTATGCGATTCCTCGCTTATGCTTCACAGCTCACCACCAAGCCTCCACCCTACTGCACCATTACAAACTTTACCTGCTCATAAGTTGCTTGTGAAATGCAGGTTGCAGTTTTGCTATCTATATTTGTAATAACCTTATAGACTCTATCGATCTACCCAGGTCTCCATTCAAAGTTCCATGGTAAGTTTGGCGGACTTCCTTGATAGTGGACCGGAAGCAATAATAGTTGTTTCTAATCACGGACCATACAATCAATACTGTTCTCTAACTCGACAGTAAGACTGATAGACTACTTAGATTACTGAGCTTAGTACTGACTTACTATTAGATTACTTAGCTGTAGGAACGGTTGAAAATTTGCCGTACCACAAAATTGTTAGAACGTCTCCTAATGGGTGTTGGTTCGAAGACCCATGCTGAGGCGACGCGATTACGCTACCCACTGTTTTCAGCCGTTCAGCGAGAAGCACTGTAGTACCCCCAAAGGTAAAACCCACTTGCGCCGATACGCTCGAGACATTCACCACGTCGCTCTCATCACATCGCCATAAAAAGGGTTCATGCTTTACGAGTTGGCGTTTTAGGAGAACCAGCACTTTGATGTCGGCATTTTGAGCGAAAAGAACGCCTAGACACCTAGTGGTTACCAAAACGCCGATTCGCTCGAAGACGATGATTTGCTCAGAACGTTGACTCCTCCCAAAATGCCGATTCTCTCAGAGCACTAGCGAACAGCGCCGATCGATACCTATACTATCCTTTTTGCTCAAAACGCCGACTCAAAACTCACTCAACGCGCTGATTCATTCAAAACGCCGGTTCTCCCAAAACACCGAGTCCCCCAGACATTAAAGACCACCGATATACACTACAATTTCCCCTCAAAACTCAAAATCAACACTAATACTTTCCTTCTAGCTCAAAACGATGATCTTCACAATTAGTGTTGATTTGAGTTTGGAGTGGAAATCCGCTCAGAATGCTGATTCTTTCGAGTCACAAAGTTTGCACGCAGTCTAACATGGAAATCCCAGTCATCCTACCTCTCAACTTTCAATCGCTGTTATAAAACACCTGAACCACTGACCTTTCTTCTCCACCTCTCAGAGAACATAAATTACTGCTCAGACGCTCGGGAAGCATATCAATTCGTCGATCACAGAGATAGACAGTTGTTGCTCGGCTTGCTGCTTCATCATCAATGGCAGTACCAGCCCTAACAAAATGTGTCACGTCTGCTATGTGGACGCCCACCTAAAAGCACTACACTACGATAACACATCCACTCACAGAGGATCAAAAAGTTCACCCACCTCTAACAAACCATTGTCAAGTGGGCGACAATGGAGTGCGTCGTCAATGTCAGTGCAGCCAAGTGGGTCAACCTGCAAAAATCAAAGTTAGGATGACGATTAGCAGCTGCCTGACAGCCATTCTACCCTGGTTATTTCAGGGAGATTCAATCTAAGTCGGTTCGCGCGGTAGGCATATGTTCA